ATTAAATTTACAATATTCTTGTCTACAAATTAAATTAGAATATTTAAATAACCAAATCGTGTGATGTTATATAAAAATTCGAAAATAGCCAAGTAATTGATGTTTGATGCTCTAACTAAAATATTTCAGCTTTTTTTAAAATAATCAGCTCCAAATCTTGGCTTATACGGTTTAGCACAAATAAACATTGCGATAGTTGAATGAAAAAAATTTTTTTTTTAGTAAAATAAGCTACAAAAAATTACGTACACTCTATAAAGTACATCGAACTTCGATATAATCACCAGATTAGGAAAAGAAATCTGGGGTCATAAGTAGCTGCGTCTATATAGTCAAAATTTATGTTTCATAAAGCTAGAGCTAAAACATGGTGTGTGACCATATCAAGAGTGACTATAACGAATATTTGTTATTCTTGATAATACAGCGAGCACAGCATTAGATTATGAAGTTATTAATGGTATCATTATCCTTTGAATGATCTTGCAAAACAGAGTTCTTGCATTAGCGTTAAGATGAAATTATTCTAATTAAAACGAATTTATAATAAAAAAATTTTTTACCCAATTTTTCTTAAAGCTCAGAATAAATTTAATAAATAAACGTGTAATTTGATTACATGTTCAATAAGAGCCTATTTCATGATATCAAAGGTCAAAATTATTTGAATTTTATCGCGCATATAAGTAACAAAAAACTAAACTAGGGCATGTCGTTTTCTTATGATCCATCTTAACTAATGTTTCTGATCCTGTAAATAAAAATAAAATTTAGACTTTTTTGATTAAATCAGAATAATCAAGAGTCTTGTTGTGTTGAATATCCTGATTCGGTAAATAATGTTAAATATTGAGAACTAGAATTCAAGTTAGCCTTAATAAAGGCAGAATAATCCAATATCTTGCTGGTCAGTAATAACTCTTTCTGGTGATACTTTTTCTGGGGTGGACTAGCAAACCTAAAAGCATCATCGATAAAGAAATCCCAACTTTTAAACTTAATTTTAACTTTCCAAACTTGGAAACTTTTTTACCAAAAAAGAATTCATAATAATTGTCGCAGATCATAATTTAAAATGAAATCTACATTTTCTATTCAACCTTCTAACCTTCTAAAACCCACT